TATCCCTTGCTTAAAACTAATTTGAAATAATTATTTTAATCTTTCTGGGAAATAGGGGGTGTAATGTCACATTGGGTATCTTAAATGTAGCACAAATGTCTTAGAAATCTTAAATATTGTACATAGACTAAACTCTATAATTTTAATTAATAAAGTTTCTATTTTGGCATTATAAAAAAAAAAAAAAAAAAAAAAAAAAAAAAAAAAAAAAAAACTACTATAATGATTATACAGGTGATAATGGTTATATTCCTTAAAACCACTATAACCACTATAACCATTATAACTATTATATCCCTTATAACTATTATAACCACAGGTTCCCTATAAAAGTTGAGGATCTACTTAGCTATGAAATTATGCTGCAGCTAAGTTATATGAGCTTCAGGAAGGAAGCTCAGAACCCAATTTCCCTATGTAACATTTCTCTCCTTTCAACTTTAGTGAGTTCTACGAACATCTAATCTCAAGATCAATAGACCATTAATTACCTCTTGTCTAGTCGGGTTCATTTATATCTTTAATAATTTTGGCATCTATAGCATCTCTTCACTAGGTGCAGTGTTTATTACTCGCCAACACTAGGCTTTATACATAACTTATAAGTCCCTCAAGGCTATTTCTCAACTAATTCTCTTGGACCAGAGTCTTTAAGGATTGGAAGGCTTCTTTAATTTGTAGAGCTGTAGGTCTTTTTATAAGGTAGGTGGGCCTTCATCTTTATATCAGTTTGGATATGGATCATTCAGATATATTATTCTTTTCTGTTTTATTCATTTCCTCTTTGATTTATTACTAATCAATTATCTTTCTTCTAGGCTTTATTTCTGCACTAGTAGTTGGTTATACTATAACACCATTTCAAGGCTTCGCAAAGACTTAATTAATGATTAGTATAGATGTATCCTTTTTCTTGTTACTGTCCTCGTTGTTTCTTTTCTATAATTTTCATTTCTCTTTCTTTTTATAATTCCCTGATTGTTCTTTTTTATGCTCTAGAGATATCAGCTATATGCTTTTAATAAATCCTTATATTCTTTTCCGACTTTTCTTTTAGATTAGATTTCCACAGTCTACTTAGCAAAGTTTGAAAAGTGTCATGGCCTAGACTTTTCGTCTTGTTAAAGTAAGTCTTCATGAATTTCTCTTCTCTCTTTGTTTTTATTGTAAAGTGCCTCTTTTTTTCCTGCACTTTACTGTCATGACTGTTCTATTACTTTTTTTTTTTTGTCACATCCATTTAATAATTTTTTTCTTTATTTTTTTTTTTTAAGTTTCTTTTCTCTTCTACAGGTTTTCTAGGTTCTTGTGATTTTGTCTTTGCTAATACACCTCCAGAATCTACTTCTGTAGGGTCAAAAGGTTGAGTGGATTATTGGCAATGAGTTGGTATCCTCCGAAATTGGTCCAATAGATGGCTTCTCTTAGCTTTAACTTTTCTATAGTGAAATGACTTCAAAGAGTAGAGTGAGTATAAATGAAGTATGTATTTTCATACTCAATGTGCTGAGCAGAGAAGGCTAACTTCTGTCTTTTCTTTTAGTTATTTTTTGGTACTAGAATACCAGTACATTAATAGATTCCACTCTTTTTTCAGGTGTTAGTCTTTCTGCGTCCTCCTCGTTTATTGTTTAAATAGTTAGTTCTGTTTCTAGTAAGTCTGAATTGCCACTATCTTTTGGCTTACTTATAGGCTCATTTAATAATTCAAGATCTTCTTTTTCTGTAGTCTTAGCCTTGGTTTCCATCTCTTCAGGTGAGATAAGGTTTATGTCTGTATTTCCTTTACTAACACTTTCTTTTCTCTCATTAATTTCAGTATCAGGATTCCAACTGAAATTATTGTTCTCCTCAACTTCTACAATACCACTCGCCTAATTGAGGATATTGTTTCTGATGGATGTCCTTTTAATCTCATACTCAAGGTCTACATCCTACCAGGCTTCGCCTGTATCTAAGTTAAGTTGTTTGGCATGTATTTCCATCTCTTTTTTTTTTTTTTTTTTTTTGGGCAAGTATACTAAATTCAGTTGTTTTTCTTATTTCTTAATACTAATTCTATCTTCTCTTTTTAGGTATTCTTTGGTTTTTTTCGTTAGGAGGTAAAAATGTATCAATCTACAGGGGTCGTATCGAATCTCACAGTCACTACCAAAATGTTACCCAGGAATATGGTGAGTCTGTCACTCAATCTTATGGATCTTCATGCAATGTTCTATGATAACTTATCAAAATACAGCATAGTGATTAGGCAAAGGGAATTCTAAGGCTTCAGTTATCATTCGAACTCCGGTTACATAGTTGGTCTTAACGTTATTGAGTCTCTTAACTTCCCTTAATCTATTTAAGTTGACCTATCCTCTCTCTTAGGATCGTCAAACACAAGATAATTGGGCAAGTTCTCTCTACTCAATAACTTAATGACACTTTACTCTATCACAAAGAGTAAATGGGCAGCATGACGTTATCTGGGTTGTGTTTATTAACTTAGCAATAATCGGGTTGGGAATTGTTTAGCAGATTTATTGGGTCAAAGGAAGGTTTGGGATAATTTTAAGAAGACAAAATTATTTATTGGCAGTGCAATATTTTTATTAAAGGGCAAAATTGCCTGCTTTTATACTTGTTGGAACAATGGGTTTGGCGATAACATTTATCACTCTTAAAACCATTATCTCTTAATCTGTAGGCTATTTCCGGCAAATTTGCCTGGAAAATTTGTGTAATACTGCTATAATCTATATTTTTATAAAATTAAAATATTCAAACAAAAATTTTTTTAATAATATTTGAAAATAAGGATTA